GTGGGCCTGGGCCGGGCGGCCCGGCTGGGCTGCGGCGGGAGGCGCGCGCTGGAGCCTGAGGGGTTTGTTAGCCCGGTGTGGTGGTCGGTGGTCTTTTTTTTTTTTTTTATAAATAGCAAGAAGTTTCGCTGGGTTTTGATGCAGGTTTCTTTTTTGTTGTTGTTGTTTTTTCTTTTTTTTTCCTGACCGTCAGGTAGGGATTTTAGTGGAAGCCTTGGTGTGTCGGGATGAGTTTTCTGCTGCCCAAACTAACCTGTAAGAGGGAAGTGGATCAGGCAATAAAAAGCGTGGCCGAGAAGGTTTTGGTTCTCCGGTTTGGAAGAGATAACGATGCTGTTTGTCTGCAGCTCGATGATATTGTAAGAGGATTTTTTTTCCTTTTTTTAAAATATTTTTTTTTAATAAACTCTACTAGTAGCTCTGTTGTATACATAAGAATGTCATATGTTGCTTTTGAATAATGTGGTGTCTTATGAAAATTTTGTGGCAATTAAATGTAAAATGCAATAATACTATATTTGTAAAATATTTTGAAAATAAAGCAAATGTTTATGTTATTGTAGTGGGTGCACAAAGTGCTTGAAGTAGAGAAGACATGCTGTTCCAGCCCTGCTTAAACTGATAAGACATAAGGGAAACAGGTTTTATAGAGCTTGCCACCCTCTTTCCTCTTGTGTCTCAATCCATTTGTCATCCATCTTTCTCACTCTTTTCAGCTTGCAAAGACAGCTCATGACCTAAGTAAGATGGCAGTCATTTATCTGGTGGATGTGGACAAGGTTCCAGTGTACACCCAGTATTTTGACATCAGTTATATCCCATCTACTGTATTTTTCTTCAATGGACAGCACATGAAAGTTGATTATGGGTATGTCATCCTAACTGGGATTATTTATTAGGTTTGTAAGAATTATCAGTCGTTATGTTACTGTGTCTGGGGAAGGTAACATTTGAAAGCTATAACGTTACCAGCATCTGCATTGACAACTCTGTAGGAAGCCAGAAGGACTTAAAATTAAGAAGTATTTGAATTCTGCTCTGATGCATTAAGTAGGTGTCAGGTGTGAAACATGCTTGACTCTGCAAAAAAATAGTACAGTTAAAGTCTTAGACATGACACTGCACCTTTTTGGACTTTGGAGGTTACAGTATACTCCTGGCTTGGTTATGCCATTACCAGTGCGGTTCATTCTTTCAGAATGACCAAATAAGAACCCCTAATTTCATTATACATCTCTTTTTTTTGTCTTTAGGTGGTTTTGCTTTAAACACTTTAACATACAATTCTACGTTTATCTTATGCTTATTTTTAGGTCTCCAGATCATACCAAATTTGTAGGAAGCTTCAAAACAAAGCAAGACTTTATAGATCTTATTGAAGTGATATACCGTGGAGCAATGCGTGGAAAGCTCATTGTGAGAAGTCCTATTGATCCCAATAACATTCCTAAATATGACCTTCTCTACCAAGGAATTTAATGGGTTGACCTGAGATAAAGAATTACAGAAATGACTGATGTTCTAGATTCCTTTTTTTCTTCAAGCATTTTTAGCCACCTCTGACACCATGGTACAGTTTGAGCATTTATGTTGAAGGATCATATTGGTCTCCTTCTGAAGACAGATATTCTGTCCCCTCATACTTTTCTCGTAAATAGCTACACATTCATGTGTAGAAGTCACGCAAGAAACTATTATTTGAGTTGCATGCTGACCAGCACCTACAAAACAGGTAGGTTGTATGCATCCTCAATGACAGCATCTCCAGTGCAACTTGCTTAAGTGAACTAAAGCACTGTATGTTCCATTAGTTGTCTATTTAGTGCCATTTTCATTCAGATGTAATAACAGTAAACCTGTCTTTATTTAAAAAGCTATGCTTGCTCTCAAGAGCATTGAACTAACTGTGCCTTTCCAATGGAATTTTACACTTTCACCCATAACTAGATAATGGGATGGAAGCTTTTTCAAACAGTATTAGAGATGACTGAAATCTGAAATGGATATAAACACAAAAGGGAAGTTGACACTTTGTTTTCTTTGGTACCCAGTATTACTGTTCAACATTTTTTTTTGACTGAGATGAGAACTGAAGGTTTTGTCATCCTTCAAAACTCTTTTGCAGCTACTGTGCGCTTGTAATTCCCACAGGATTAAACTGGAAATTCAGAATAACTGTTTCATTTACTTTCACTTTAGAGGTTATTGTGACCTTCTGCTTGTATAAATTGCAAACCTTGAGTATGGAAATTTAAAAGCTGTCTCTATTTCCCACCTCTTGCTTAAAATTAAACAGCTGAGATAAAACTACAACGTCATTCTTTTGCATCAGTTTGGTAATTGCAGGTTGCTAGACTATTGTATTTCTACAGTAGCTCATGCCCAGTAATCTCAAGGGTTTAGTTGGCTTTAAAACAGAAATTATTTTTGCTCACTGTATTGTGTTTGGGGCATACCATCTCTGACAGGAGGGAAGGTAGTAGAATGTAGTTCCCTGAAGTACTGTTCAACTTAACAGTAAATGTTTCAAGGAGGAAGGTGGACGTTCCAGGTTTTGAAACATTTTAAACACTGTATGGTATATAATGAGGAACAAATAGATCCTTTACATAGTCTTTGTATTCCAGATTTGTCCTTTTAATGAAAACTGTGCACTTAGATGAGTGTTTTCCTGATAGTTTAGTCTGATTATAGAACCATTAACTGCAGTGTATATTTTAAAAATGATACAGATGAGAGTTTATATCCCCTAACATCTTTATTTCGTGCAACTTTAAATTCCACAGCTAGCTGAAGGGTTGTGGCTTAAAGCTTTCAACAATGCACTTTCCTAATAGTTAACTTGTATTTGTGCCTTTCTCAAAACCAAACAAACTAGCTTCAAACTTAGAACAGCAAGTTGCTCCACAGTGAGAGGAAGGTCCTTAGATGACTGAAAGGTGCAGGGGCAGTTACGAAAGGAAAAGACCACTATCAAGAGCAAATCAGCATACCTTTATTTATTGCCTCTCTTTTTACTTGTACTGCTTCTGGTTGCAACAGGCGAATGCCTAAAGGCTGTTGTGGTCTTGGCTTTCAGTGTGCTCTTCAAGTACTTAAAGATGGCACGTAAGCAATGGGAGGGTGCTAAACCATACTTTTCCGTTCCAGCAGAGACAACAGGACAATTCACTTTCACGAGAGAACGTACAGCTTTATCTAGAGGCTTACTGTTTGATACCCATTCACGGCAGCATTGCTGTAACCAGTTTTGTATTTGTGGGTCGCTTCTAGTCTGGTGCTGTGTGTTGTGCATGGAGTCAATGAATGCCACAGAGTACACTTTATTCATTACCTCATATTTTCTCTGCACCAGCAGATCAACAAACACCAAGCCACCATAGCCGTGGGCAATGAAGGCCACGTTCTTAGCTGCGCTCTTTGAAATGAAATGATCCCATACATACATGGTATGTTCCTCAGGGCTGCTGCTTTCCCTCTTGGGGATCCACCAGACTAATTGCTTAGAAGTCGGTGATTCTTTCCCGGTAGAAAAGCTTAACAACTCCTTTCCAGTGCTCAGATCAACGAAGTTGTCATTGGGGTTCAGTACAATCACTCCCCCATGGCTCTGAAGAGCCTTTTTGATGAATGGTATTTGTGTTCCATGCTCCAGGCCCTCACTGACAATTGTCCTTTGCCCCCACTGTCCGGCACGGAAAACTCCACGATCTTGAAGAAGGACAGTTAGGCTAGAGGAACTTGTTAGTGCATTCTCACTCATGAAAAAGAAGCTTTTTGGTTCATCTTCTGTAGCATCAGTAGGAATATAAACTTTCTGCAGCATGCAGACTCTTTCCAGGAGCTCATAAACATATTGGGTAATCAAATGTCCCAAAACTTGATAGCGTTTATGATTCTGCTCAGGATCATTCTTGTAGTAATTGAAAACAAAGGAGTCATTTGTATCCAGATGCCTCAATTCCCCTTTTATATTGAAGTCATACTTCAGTTCCTCTTGATACTCTGAAGCCTCTATTAGCTTCCTCAAGCTTAGTTCGTGCTGTATTTGTAACCACTACAAATTAAGAAGAGGATGTCAATGTAGTGCTAGACCTCTATACAACACCTACATAAAGAAAATGTGTTGTATTAGAATTAAGATTTAAAAGAGGTTACAAACAAAATACTCGTTGATACAGACTGTCTCCTGGTGGTCTGTAGTAAACCAGCTGCTTTTAAAGCCTCTTGCGGTTTTTGATTGCTAAATTCCAACAGCAGTACATTAATACTAATCTCTCTAGTTGTTTGTTCATCCTTGCAAGCACTTGCCACATGGAAATTGTGGAATGGGTGACAGAATAAGCTAACCACTGTGATCCAGGAACAGGAGAAAAAGTCCATGCAGCAAACCTTCATGAGATTAGACTGAGGTCTCTAGTTTCAGTTAAGATAATTTTTCAACTTGTACGGCTGATGAACTGATAAGAATTATACCGGGAAGTGGTTTCCATGCGAAAGAAAAATTAATCTTATCATAACCTTCTATTTTCCTAATAACTCTTCAATCTGCTACTGACTGTTCCTGGCTGTAGAATGGTAAACACGGGGTAACCTTTGGTGTGGTTAGAATCCTACTTTTATAGTATTTTTGTCTTAACAGCAGAGATTTGCAAGCATTAAATTCCCACAACTATCAGTATTTTTAAAATGAATTTATCATCTTAACACAGTAATTTTGTTTTGGCAAATGGTTTATATGAAGTTATATATGGCAAATACATTGGTACCAGCTACTATATACCTTTAAATTTTTCTTGCTGAACTAACAGGTTTTTAGAACAAAGTAAATCACATTCTGACTATGTTAAAACTCACTATACCATCTGATAAAGCTGATTACTAGGACAGAAAAAGTAATCTGAAAATTTTCATGTAAGCAACTTGTGTTGGAGCCCAACTCCTGTATAGAATGCAAGTTTCCTTGAGTAAGCTGCTTAGCATATTGAAAATTATTTCTTAGACTTACGAATTATAAAAAAAAAAAAAATAAATTTGCTTTTCAACAGAGCAACACCATATACATTTTCCTTTTGAGCAATCTCCGTTGGGTCAGAGATGTTAAGTCATCTCTTCAGGGTCATTCCTGACTTCTGATTAACAGAGAGTAGGCTAGAAAACACTACCTTCTCCTTTTTTTGTCTCACATAGTAAGTACAGATAGAAAAGGGAAAAAAACCCCAAACAACCAGATTCCATGACATATAAACCATTTGCTAATTTGCCAGTTTCTTGGAATGGAAACAGCATAAAGAAGTTGCAAGTGCACGTGTTCATCTATGATTTTTTGTTCTGCAGGAAGGCATGAATGTCACAAAGGAGATGGGAGGACAGTCTGTTTGCTGTACTACTGAAATACAGGCAATTCACACAAAAGAGGTCCTGTTTAGTAGGGAGGGAGCTACCCATATTCGTGTTGTTTACCCCATGCAGTGAAGTGGGGGAAGAAATGGACGTGGTTTAAGGAAAGATGTCTGTGGAGAAAAGCAAAGCACAGAGGAAGCATTCCATAACAATTATGAATAGATAAATGGAGTTTCCTCACAGGGTGGCATGTTGTCCAACACTTTTTTCTGTCCCTTTCTCTCCTCACCCTAAAAGGTTAGAGACTATAGTTTCCTAATGTACGATGAACAGGAATTACTATGCTCTTACTTCAGGTACTAGCAGCAATATTGCTTTTTCAGTTCCAAAACAAAATTAGGATACACGATTCCAAATTAAACCCCATGCATAGAATATTGAACATCTACTTAAATATCAACCTTACAAAGCATTGTGAAAGGTTTCCTAAGATTTCAAGAAGCAGAAACAAAAAAATAGTTTTACATCAGGCATAGGAATGGCTTCCCTTCCCAAAATCGCCTTCAAGGTGTGAACTGAAAAGTTTTGATGCAATTTATAATAGGTTATCACTTAAGAGTTCAGTTGAATAGCACCTTAGAATCATATACTTATTAGTCTGGAGGACTGATTTTATTGTCGTAATGCCATTTGTAGAATTAAAAAGCAGCAGTTATAGATTGTTCTAGATACAGCTGCATAATGCATTTCCTTCTTTTTGGTAAATGTACATTCTAAATGAGTGTTGACCGCTGCTTGTGCTTCGTTGTGTATATATAAATGCAAAATTCAAGGGTCTTTATCCTGGCAGCCTTTACAATTGCAATTTTGATTTTAAAAAGTTACTGGTGGGGAATCCCTCTTTCCCTTCCTCCCACTTTGCTGTTTGGACAGTAAGATTCTTCAGCGGTAAATTCAGCTAGTGATTGTTACAGCAGTTGACATATTTGAAACACTACTGCAGTACAAGTATTACTCTTAAGGAGATTTTCCATTTTAAAAAGTTTCCTCTGTTCTAGTAAAGCCCAACATTACCGTATTCTCTTTTGTAAAATCTGTCATCATCATAGACGGAAATCTTTTTTGCTCTGGGATCACAGACAATTTCTCTGCATGAAAGAAAATAAACCCATCTTAGTTCAGGTTTCATTACTTTATGTACTTTATTCTCCAGTATATCTATAAAACGTGTCAGTTGCTGATACTTAAGGCCATCTAAAGTGTTTCTGGTCGTTCCAAGCTAACATCCCACGTTTGGAATGTATACCTGACCATAAGTTAAAGCTAAACCTCTTGGGTGTGAAACTAAAGAGCTGTCAAAACTAGTTTTGCACAGCTTCGCATTACTTGGTATGAAAGCACTACCAAGAGGACAAAACAGAAAGCAACACATGAAACTTACACTTCCGAAGCTGCCCTGAAAACAAACAAACAAACCAACCAACCCACCCAAACACGAAAACCAACAAACCAACCTTTGCCTCCGCTCGGCCGGGCGGGATTCCCAAGGCCACCCAGCAGCCGACCATCCCGGTGGGATGCGGGGGTGTTATGGGGGCCATGCGCGGCCGCCCCCTGCCCTAAGTGAGGGCTAATGAGGAAAACCTGACTGCGGTTCCAAACCTGATTCGATTGGCTTGTATATTACTTCTAGCAAAAATACCACGGGTTTTCATGATTCCTTCCGCTAATTGCAGCCTTCCTCCCGTTTCCTTAACGTCTGCGAGCTCGCGTTTCGCGCAGCTGTATTTTATTGCGTTCAACGGAACTCCTAAGTGTTGCTACTCCTCCTCAAGTTTGTCAGGTGCGGCGAAATGCGCGTACCGGCACACCTGTGCCGCTGTCACCTGCTGCACGCCGTTTGCATCCCCCCCTCCGCCCTTCAAGTATCAGGCTAAAACCCGGCAAAGTTAATAACCGGGGAGGCAACCGGGGAGGCAGCCGGCGCGGCGGGGCCCGGCCCGGCCCGGCC